AGGACATGGATTACCTCAATGAGTAGAGAACGCCGGGAATGAGATTAGAGATGTGTTCGGTGAGAGCGCCGGGCAATACGCTGACGAGTTCGCTGAGCAGTGAGAAACAGCTCTGACGGGTTTTGATGCTCTTCTCACGCAGTTGTTTGTGGAGAGACTTGACTATTGAAGGCACCTGTTCTCTGACGATCGTCGAGATGTTGTTCGAGTACTCCAACGAGTTGTCACAACCGCCGGTTCCGCCGCTGCCCACCACTGTTCGCGTCTGTTTCAGTAGCGCTATGTATGCGTTGAATATGTCTACCTTTACATTCTCTTCACGCTCTATACAGTTAATGACAGTTCAGTTAATCATTCGCTTAAATATATTTAAAACAGTTATCAATGCCTTTATATCTTTGGATCAATTCGGGTGACACTTTGCGATAGAATTCGACAATCAATTCGTGTCGGGTAGATATCAACGCCTCCAATGTTTTAGCCGACGCTCGTCTCACTTTCCAACTCATATCGTCGTCATCGCTATAACTGCCGTCAGTGTCCGCCTCTTCTTCTTCGTTATCCATTTCCATGTCCTCGTCATCCATACCATCGGAATCGTAGTTATAGTTCGGGTCATAACTTAGATATTTCAGACACACGTTTGTGATCTGTTTGAAAGAAACCAGTTTTTAAATTACATACAAATAAATGCATAGATTAGAGGAATGCCAGCCGTGTACTCTACTATAGAGAAATCCTGTCGCCGCCTGTTTACTGAGCTTGCGAACCTCTGTCTGAAGGAAGTTGAGTAGCGGAAGAAGAACAAAGAACAGGAATTGGAGATTTATTCCAAAGCGTGTGATTAATGGCATCACTCGCTCTAAATGCTCGCCAAATCGATGTCCCGATTGTCTACTGATGGCAGTAATGCATTGGATGTAAGTCTTAGCGCTGTTGATGTCGTTAACATTTTTGGTCAATTCATCGATGAGAAACTCAATGACTCTGCTATACAATTGTTGCGTTGTTGTGTAGCAATCTATTGAGTTACGTCACTACCGAGAGAACGCCTGTCGCTCCGCAACTGTGTTGTTAACCCCTTAGTTACTCAGGACTTATAACCGCACTTTACTTTGGTTTTCCAAAGGCTTGCGATTCAACAGATCTGACAGTATCTCCAGTGCCTCCAGACGTATACCCATATCGTCGTGCTTTGCATAACAAATAACATTCAATTTACTCTTCATTTCTCGCATAAGAGGTGTTAATCGGCTAAATGTATGGTTCGCTTACCTGTGAGATAGCGTTAGCCAAACGACCGGTGATTTTCTTGCATATGGTTGAGACCAAAGCGGTTGAATTGGGCGACAGTTCGGCGATAACTGTCTTGAGGCCAATGCTGGAGATGTCGCGCAACTGTTCGTTGTTGGAGATCATGTTAGAGCAGAGGGTATCCACAATGGTCTCCACTTGTATTTCCTTCACTTTGTTGACGAGAGGCCCCAAACACTTGACGGCCAGGTTCTGGACCTCCGGCAAGAACAGGAGGTTGTCGAAGTTATCGTACGCTTGGTGAAAGAAGAGCGTCAGCAGCAGGTCAAACTACAACAGAAAGACGTCAAGTCTGTAGTCTAGCAACCAGCGGTATTTGGCCTTCAGAATGTCCGACGATGTCATCTGTCGTGAGACAAAGTGTCAGTCGTGTCATCGCAAGTGCAACAAAGACAACAAATGGTGTCAATACCTTCTCCAACAGATTTGAGATGTGATACGAAACTGAAGAACTCATCGCTTCTTATCATTTGTTGACCAAAAACTTCGCAAAACTGTCAACAAATCAATTCATTAATCCTTTAATTAATCGTTAATTCAATTGTAACCAAAATCTCAATCTTAAGACAGATCTCTCGTCTCTTCGCTTGACTTACAAATCAAATGACAGTTTTTTGTATAAAAATAGTGATAAATATTACAAATAATTAAATTTGATTAAATGTTTTGCAATTAATTTTGAATACAATTAACACTGAATTCAAACAAACATTAAATGTTTTGAAGAAATGCTTAAAAAATCAGACAATCATTCAATTGAAATACGATATACCGCTCCCACACACACATTACGTTACTATAAAACACGTTATTTGCAACCAGTTATCAATAGCCATATATGGGTTCCATGTTTTGCTATTTCAAACTCCATACCATTTATAACCCCTGACCTCAATGCGAACGTAACGTTGTTTGTGATGATGATATTAGTGTGTTTCAGTTGACCACAATCATTGTGAATGCAATGGTTTGACTGATATTATTAGAACCGCCCACTTATTCCTTTAAACACCATTCATATATATAGTGACCCTTTTATTCACACTATTGGGGGCATTCATATTCACATTCAAATTGTGAAAGTTTTTATAATAAGTTTTATTGATTATAAAAATACAAACTATGTTTTAAATTGAATTCTAAAAAGTGATTGAATGAAAATTCATAATTTATTTGTCATTCATTTGTTGTCGTTATGAAACGCCATGGCAAACCACGCTTTCTTCGCTATCAAACCGACGAAACTCTGGTTTCACACAGCTTAGCCTGTTTGTAAACAACCAATCATTAGGCATTTAGTAACGGCTGCGTTTGGATAGAGTGAATCATAATTAAACAATATTCCCATTATATTCGCCAATTTAATTACACTATTATATGAATTGCTGAAATTGCAATTTAAAACATTTTCAACTTATTTCCGAACATTATTTGTTATGCTTTTCTGAATATAACCATAAATTCTTGTGATTCACAAGTTGTGAATAATAAATTGAATTTGAAATGAATATCTGCCTAACAGTAATTATTGATCTTGCTTAATTTATTTTCAATATGAAATGTGCTGAGAATTTAATATAAAAAGGCTGTAATAATTAGATAATGTAATGAATACATACGAATCTCCAGCGCCCGAAACATTAACGATCTGATTGCGGAGGTCTTCTTGTGGGAAATGCATGACATTTATTGTTTGTGATTTTGAATACTATTTATAATATAAATTAGTTAATGTGGAAAATTTAATATTCATTTAAATACTTGGTTTGTATGAAAGAGACTAGAATTTGGTCCGAGAGATATGTAGTCGTATTGCGAACATTTAGACACAACTAAAACTCCAAACTTTCCTAAAGTTACTATAGCAATACTTTGCGGTACCGTTTGGTGCGAAAGAAGCGATAGTTTGGCTGCTTTGAGACCAAAGTGTGTCGAATCGGACAAACATTTGTTGGTTAGTAATCCGTAAATCATTGCCGACGCAAACCTATAAGTGAATCATAATTAAACAATATTCCCATTATATTCGCCCATTTAATTACACTTTTATATGAATTACTGAAATTGCAATTTAAAACATTTTCAACTTATTTCCAAACATTATTTGTTATGTTTTCTGAATATAAGTATAAATTCTTGTGAATAATAAATTGAATTTGAAATAAATATATGCCTAACAGTAATTATTGATCTTGCTTAATTTATTGCAATATGAAATGTGCTGAGAATTTAATATAGAATGGCTGTAATGATTAGATAATGTAATGAATACATACGAATCTCCAGCGCCCGAAACATTAACGATCTGATTGTGGAGGTCTTCTTGTGGGAAATGCATGACATTTATTGTTTCTGATTTTGAATACTATTCAATATTTAGAATATAAATTAGTTAATGTACTTTTAAATTATAAGTAAATTTATGAACCAAACATACTTTCTCTGATCTTAAACCAGGCTCTCTATACATCAGCATAACGCTTGTAAATCTGTGTTGATTTTGAGGTTTGAAAGGATTTCAATGATAAATCGTATGGAAATGGTTGGCCATAATGTGTCGGCACATGTCATCACAATTGTCGATAAGTGTTTGCAACGGAATTTCATTGATGTTCTCAGTTATTGCTTTCTTGTTGTCAAACAAATTATTATAAATAGTTTCCAATTCATAATAATTAGGAGACATAAACATAAGAGAGCGGATGTCTTGAGTAGTAGTTTCGTTGAAATTCAAACTCGTATTCAAATATAGACAGCCAAGCATGGTATGAAAGTGTATCTAAACGTTTGTAATTTGATTTCAATGAATAACACTAATTGTTAAATATAATATTTTGTTTTAATAATTATAAATACAAATATTCTGTATATGAATATTCACAAGAATTGTAAATTTATAATTTGGTAAAAATATAGTTTTGATTGTATTGAATGATACAATTTAAACATTGAATCGATTGAAATTTCTCGAAAGTAATATTTTAAAATGATCACAATATTTACTAAACTAATGAACAATTTAAAGAATTTTAGTGCTGAAAGTGAATAAATAAATGAATAAAATATTACGGTTTGTATAACATTTCAAACGAATCGGTGTTTATTACACACCGTATAATGGGCTTCAGGTTGAGGTATGTGGGGTTGACGTCATTGCCTCATAGACTCAATTCATTCATTCATTCAAATGGCTGTGCATTTCATTCATTAACTGATTCACAATCGCAGGTATTATATCGTAATAAAGGTGTGAATCGGACTTATGGTGTCCTCTAAGTGATTGTCTCAACACATGTCTCTCAACACCGATACTAATCTGATAAATGATTACTAAATCATTTAGAGTTTACATCTAAAGTATAAAAATGACCTAAACTTTACTTCCAAAGGATACAAACAATTATTGTTTGAACACAAAGTTCTTCGTTATATTCATCACTCAAAGTGTTTAACAAATGAATTGACGTTTATTTTGACTCATTTTGTTTGGTTTTGATCTGTCTTTCAAATAGTTGTCACAATTTTAATGAACTAAAAGTTAATCACAAGAAATAATGACTGATTTTATGCGTAAGTTTGTGCTTAAAGTGGACGTAACGTCCGTCCGAGCGGTTACTTATGCGGCGATATTCACGTTCTTGACGGCCGTCTTCACGATCATCGCCTTCTCGACCCCCAATTGGTTGGTCGCAGACAATCAACAGCCCATCAAGAGGTTTGAGAAGTTGGGTCTCTGGGAGGCCTGCTTTTACACCTTCAGAGATGTCAACTATCTCTACGACCGCGAGTTTCGCGGCTGTAAATGGCTTTTCGATGAAGACTATGCCTTCCTATTGGACTTCTTGGAGCCGCGTATGTATTATCCAACCATTATTTTCAATTTATTATTAAATTATCATTTGATTGGATTGAATGTATGAAAAGTGTCTGTAATTATTGCTCTAAAGTTATGGTCTATTAATTGATAGTTAAAAACATGGAAAGGAATTGAAGCAAAGCTTCATAAATAGGAATTCAAGAAAAATAAAACATTTTATATGTTATAGGATTCGTATTACGGCTAAAAATATGTATTAAGTTTCGGAAAACATGATCAATTTAGTGGAAAGCATGCATTTACTTTGAAATTCAAAATATATGTCAAAACATATGAAATATGCATTCATTGATGTAATAATATATGGCATTTGATATGAAAATGCAATAAATGTAATGAGGAATTCATTTTAAAGTTGATTTCATTTTGAAATATAAGTAAACAGTTGTAGTGCTGAATGTCCTCCGTTTTAATTGTTGTTTATATATATTGTGTGAATAATTATCATTTCAAATACGAGTCGTTGTGTTGAAAGGGAATACCTGTGCTGTGAAGTGGAATAAGCCATTCAGGTATTCTCCATAGGCTTATAGGGCGTCGGTTACCTGTGCTCCGGCTTTGCCTGTGCTTTGCAATTTCAAATACGAGTCGTTGTGTTGAAAGGGAATACCTGTGCTGTGAAGTGGAATAAGCCATTCAGGTATTCTCCATAGGCTTATAGGGCGTCGGTTACCTGTGCTCCGGCTTTGCCTGTGCTTTGCCTATAGTATACCTGCTTTACCCATACCTATACCATACCATTACCCATACCTGCCATCACTTGAAACCAGTAAATGAATTGAGAGACAGAGAAAGAAGGCGTTAATACACTGCATGTCCTGACCGTAAAGATGACGACTATTTCCCATTCAATCCTTCATTCATAAAATTCATATAATTTGTGACAAAACAATAGTTTTGACAAATAAATTGTTTATGTATTTACTGTTATGACAATTGGATAGTGTATTAGACTAGAAGTGTATTTGGTGTGAATACCACTGAATGTGTTCAAAGTATAGGTCAGTTGTCTGTAAATAAGTATTTGCAAAATGCCTGAAAGGAGGCGAATGTCTGACGCGAGGGTCGTCGCACTGGCCGTCACTGCCATCTGTTCCCTGTCGACGATCATTGCATTCGTGACACCCAATTGGTTGGCCTCCGATCGGCGACTCTATGGCGCAAATTTCGTCAAATTAGGTCTTTGGGAGACATGTTTCAGGAGTTATCACAATCCATACGATTACGATCTCACAAAGTATTACTCCGGCTGTCGCTGGATATTTGCCGACGAGTACTATAATATCAGACACCTATTGATGCCATGTATGACATATGTGTTGCAAATTCATTCAATACTCAATCAAACTAATCATTTAGTTTTTAAACATAAATTTAAATGTGAAATATTAATCAATGATTTGTTTTTCAATCTTCAATAGCATTCTTCATCGCAACACAAGTCTTATACACAATAGGATTCATATTCTTGTTGGTCGCGTGTATTGGAGTTCTTGCCATTCAATTATGTTTTGTTATCGACAGAGAGATATTTGCTATGAAAATGTTGTCAATCACAATGTTTTTGGCCGGTATTTGAACAGCAATGTTAACATATAAATGTCAATTATAACTAATTGTTTCAATTGTTTCGCAGCCCTATTCACAGACAGAGAGATATTTGCTATGAAAATGTTGTCAATCACAATGTTTTTGGCCGGTATTTGAACAGCAATGTTAACATAAATGTCAATTATAACTAATTGTTTCAATTGTTTCGCAGCCCTATTCACGACAATCGCAGTCATTATATTTGGTATCCGAGGAGACGATAGGGATTGGATGCCAGACCACGACCACAACTTCCTCTCGTGGTCTTACGGACTGGCAGTCGTCGGTGTGTTCTTCGAGTGGATGTCAGCCATACTATTCTGGGCCGAGTCTCGCATCTTATATAAGAAGGAACTGAAACGCGAACAACAAATGTTTAATTTAGAGCCAACTAATATCAAGGCTTAATTCCGCTCATTATCTCACAATCACATCATATTTGATGCCGTTTTTCAGTGCAAACAACAGACACTTAATATTTACAAACATTCCGTCCTTTGCATCGATCATATCTGAAAATCATTTTCATTTACTGACCAGAAGTTCATACAATTAATAGCAATCAAAATAATGGCTTCTGATATTTTTTACATTTTATGCACGTTTTTATATAATTTAAATACCAATGAGTTATACATTTTATGAAATATTGTCAATAGAGTTGCACTAACAGTATTGTATATCCAGTTTTTATGACTCTATTTGTAAATACAACGAAAAACTTTTAGAATCTCAATAAAAATAATTTTTAACACTTAAATTGTTATGTATTTTTGTCTTTAATTATTGCGAAATAATACCATAATTACACTCCATTTTGAGGGGAAATCAAATCAAATGAAACATTTATATGAATATCGATCAACAAAAGTGGTTTTCATGCAATCATTTTCAAAAGTAACATAATATAGATTTAAGAGAAATATATAATAAATTTTTAAGAATTTAAAATATGGTTAGAATAAATAAAATAAAATATGTAGAATAATTACAATTATCAATGATAATTTATCATATAAACACAGCACGAGATTATTTAAAATTACAAATACTCTTTCTTCACAAATTCAAGTATTTATTATAACATGTTGTTTATATGTGAACACACAATTATATGTATTAATAAATGAATATAAAATTGAGTTTAATTGTTAAAAGTTTCAAATTCAAGAATTATTGGTATAAATTAAAAATGAATGATTTCCACATACAAATGATTGTACTGCAAAAATATACTGTAAGGTAAAGTGATACAAGTGTACAAAGTGTATAAGCTACTTCACGACAAACACCACTTACATTTGTTAATATAGATATTATAGTATATTAATAGTTCCATGTAAGAGATTAACATCAGAAGTGTTAGACACTATTACGTAAACTTTTACATAAAAATAAGTTATTTTTAACAAAAATTGATTTTTTCCAACGACTGACAAAATGTTATTTTGTTTGATTGAAGACTTATTTGCCTTGATTTTACTATAATTGATATTCCAATAAATATTACATAAATTCAATTAAATAATTGTCTTCTTAAATAAATAATTAATAAACAAATACACGATGAAAATTATAACTCATTTAACATTAATTTTAAAAAATAAATAACATTTTATAAATATTCTGGTTATGGAAAATACCTTTACTTACAACAGTTGTTATATTTTAATAGTCTATAAAATCAATTCTTTCGCTGTTGTTGTGACAAAGTTTTGGAAACTTCTGAATCGATTTTAGTGTCCGAATAGCCAAAAGTCATGAGCAATAGTCGAAGTCCGCCGACAACTCTGGACATGACTTGAACCCGATTCTTGAGGTCTTCGTTCTCACCGATCAGTTCATTGATTCGCAATTCATTTAATTTCAACCGCTTTTTGGCCTTTTCTCGACTCTTTCTGACGGCGATATTGTTTTTCTGTCTTTTTTGTTTGTAATCTTCGGTACACTTATTCACATCATTGATGTCTTTATTATTGTTGAATATTCCTTCGGTTGTCGGAGAACTCGATGAAGAAGAGGGCTCACCATCGAGAGGACAGTTCATAGTTTGAGTGACATTTGCGTTATAATGTCTATCTTTATTATCGGCAAATTTTTTTACATAATTAAATCCAAATTCATTTGGTTTTGCTTCACAGGCGTAGAAGTTATAGGGATTGTGATTGTGTTCATAATTTATAATATTTGTCGGAAATGTGATTTGTTGTTGCATTTGTGGTACACTTATATACCTTACGTTATTCGCAACACTATATATAAAATTCTATATATTTTCAATCAATACCAGAATTGCGACACAAGTTTTGGGAAATGTTGTGAAATATTATTTTCACATAAGCTTCAAATATATATACAGTTGTAAACACTTGTTATACAAAACAGATTCTACTCTACGGTAACACATAATTAAAGAAAATGCATTGAAAGGCAAAGAATAAAATTCTAAATTAAAAGAAACTTTTTAAATAAAAATATAGTCAATATTTAAGTATTTGATTCAACAAAATGACAGCACATTTAACGATTATAAAGAAAGTAATACTAATTTTGGCAAACAGTTTGTCGGTGAAGATAATGAGAAATAATATATTAGCAGTTGTTGTGAACTCAAGAAGCAGTCAAACGATAGTTGCGAAACATTATAGCTTATGAGTTGAGCAACAGATAGTGTTTTTCAGTAGAGAAAAATGTTTTTGCAATATAATTATATTACACAGTAGTGTATGTATAGAAAAATTAGTAGTTAAGGCAACAAAAGTATGAGACATTTGAATATTCTGTTGCGAAATCACTTCTTTGGAGAGCAGTTCTGCATATATTTACCGATCGTTTAACTTTTTTCTTGCTTTAAATTACTTTACATTTAAATGAACATAAGGTTTGCGCAATGCTTTTGATTCCTCGAGTGATTATACGGTATAACTCTTTTATGATAGACTATTAGACAGTATGTTATATCTTGAATGCATTGTAAATATATTATTATTGAATTCTATTAATAATATATTAGCGGAAAAGCGATTCTTTTGTTAATTCTAAACATTTTCAATGCATTTGAGTTTTCAATTTGATTTGAAATTGTAGTCAAATGTAATGACTATTTCCAAATGTCTTGCAATAAAATGAATTGCCATTAAAATCAATTAAAGTCTACCATTGGAGTCTACCATGGGAAAGTTTATAAACACCTAGGGTAGTCATCAATGATATAGTTTTCAACTCAATTTATTTTGTTATTTGAATTTAATTCAGTGAATATTTAAATTTAATGTTTATTTAAGGCTTTTAGTACTACCAATTTCAATTTACTCAATAATCTTTTTAAGTCAGCGTTATATTTGCAAATAAATTTACTATAAAATACAAATTTATTGAAAATTAAAAGTTATAAAAATACTAAATACGGACATAAAATACAGTTAACAAAAAAGTTTAATTGAAAATCATGATAGCATAGCATGTATGAGCTCACACAGTGTGTGCACACACCTGACAGGTATAGGGAGCGCCTTTACTCTATCGTTGATTTACAGTATATTTACAGTACATGTGTCTGTAATACAGACTCTGGTAACCAGACCTTAGATCTGCGCAAACGATGCGGACATACCATACCCTCCACTAAAATAAGTTGTTTTGTGGTTTGTTTTCAAAATATTACTGGCATTTAAGACAAAGGTAAATATTTCTTAATTTAATTAACAATTTTAACCATTTAATTGCCGATTGATACATATTTTTGGACATATTTATATGTTTGTAATAATTAGAAAACAAGAATTAATATTTCAAACAAGTTAAATATGAAATTGAATATAATAGCAATGTATGGGTGGGGCGGCGTTCCTGTCGCTCATTCGCACAATACATTAGACTGTACTGTAATGTCATTAATTGCCAACATTTAAAAGTTTTGTTCAATTTGTAAATTTAGTTAAAACCATATCAACGATAGCGTAATGTCGAGCCTGAGTGGAGGCAGCAGTCGGTTAAGTGATATTCCGCCCAAATATCGTCTAAAAACTTCGTATACATTACTGGTCTCTAGTTATGTGGCGCTATTAGCCTTAATTTCATTGATCATTTCATTTGCCAGTCCATACTGGCTATCATCGCACAAATATACGTATTCCTCATTTGTAAGACTTGGTTAGTTTGCATTGTATTTTGTCAATCAATTAAAATTGATTGATTCATTTAATTTCATTAAAACTATTGTATCGGTTTGTGTCGACAGGTCTCTGGGATTTCTGTTTTGATCGTTACAGGTATGAGACGTGAGATTTTGTTTTGATTGAGTTAACTAATAATTGTATTTATTATATTTGTCTTATGGTTAGACATCCGCCCTATCAATACGATGAGGTGTTTAATGGTTGTCACTGGATATATAGTTCCAAATACCAAAACATCAGAGATTGGTTACAACCTGGTATGTTTTTCTAATATCATCATTTTCATTTGTCTACCAAAACCCCAATCATAAAACTTTGCTCATATCATAACTATTTATTTTGCATTAAGTATAAGAAACATTTGTTATCAGTATGAATTACGAGAATATGATTGGGTGTTAAGTGATTGTGAGATATGTTATCAAGAGCAATATTGTTACAAAATATGTAAGCATAACAATTTGTTGTAATTATAGGCTGGTTTATGTTCGTCCAGGGAATGCTATGCATTTCACTCATATTCTCGGTGTTAACATTGGGCACAATCAGCGTTACAATAATGCATTTCTTCAATAGATATGTCATTGCAGTGATTGGATCGGCATTTTTGATGGAAGTCTGTGCGAGTGAGTGCATCCCATAATCATAGCCAACAATATCATTTATAATTTGTCTATAATTTCAAACAATTATATCTTAATAGCGATTCCATTATTCTTGGGTTGGCTCGTGTTCTGTATTATGCATTCAGATCGCGGATGGTTTATGTATCCCATGTATAATCACTTGGACTGGGCTTTCTATGTGGCAATCCTTTCGTCGGCACTTCATATGATTGCCTCAATTCTCTTATTATACGAGACTTTTAAGACACGGGAAAGAAAGCAAAAGTTGACGAATTTGGTGTACAATATGCAGCCCAGGTTTTGATCAAATATATCATTCACTAAATGTTATCACATTTTATACACAATTATTCTCACACTTATTTTCATTTCATTTTAAAACAAATATTATTTTCTTAGTTTTTCATTTTAACAATAAAATAAATGCAATTCTCTGATAAGCTTAAAAATTCACTTACAATTGTGAATCATTTTTCTATCATTTGATTATTTTAATTTAATTCATATATGATTTTGTAAATGATTTTTATATACCAATGAAGCAGTTCTTACGTTAAGATTAAGTTATCATTTAATTATTACATTATAACCTTTATTGCCATAAAGAATTGCTTTTAAAATTGCATAATTTAAATTCATTAAATAAAATACCAAAATGAATGCAAATTGTAAACCACATTGACTTATAGATTGCAATAATTTTCATATTTAGGGCACCAAACGATGCATACGATTCAATGCCTTTACAGAGAAAGCCGGAACGACAGACACACTTCTCCGAAGTTTAAATGTTTCATAAATTTGTTAAATATTACAGACATTAGAAGTACTTATATGTATGGCAACTATTTGTAACATTAATTCACACGATTCTTGTTTAATGCAATAATACTTTCAATTATTGACTATTTTTAAAGTAAAACTTCGACACAAATATCATATATTAACTTAAGAGTGACTCTCACCTGGAATTCCATAGTTTGAG